GTACTTTAGTTCCTGAATCCTATCTCTCAGCAAACCTGCAGGTATGCATTTCTGAGTCTCTGTGTGGCCAGGCTCTGCATGGTTAAGTGGTTGAGCAAGCTGAGTTGGCCATTTAGATGGAGATCATCCTTCTGAATAATGGGTGTGTCTGGCTGAGGGGTGGGGTGGGAGGGGGTGCTTCCCCTCTGTCTTCTATCCAGAAGCACATCCCTGCGACCTTCCTGGTACTCAGCCCCATTCTCTGGCTCCCATGTTGCCTCTCAATAGCCCGAGCCCTAGCCCCACCCTGGCACCCTCCATGTCTGGCAGAGAGTCTGTGGCTAAAGGGTTAGGATGTCCAGAACTTGCTCTCTTGGTTGCCTCTTGGCTGAGCCTCAGTCTTTGTCGAAGGTCATTTACCTCCCAGACACACATGGCCCTTGGTGCCCCATTCCCACATTTAAGGAGCTAGATACCCTCCCTACTTGCCAGAGCCCTGTCTGCCTCCAAACTGCCTGTTGTCCGGGGTGGGCACGGTGCCTCTTCCTATTGGAGTGCATTGATTTTCCTCCACGATGGTTGGTCATCACTCCGCTGGGTAATGTATTTTAATGAATTGTTATTCTGCTGGATGTGGGCTCAAAGGACTTTTTATTATGAAGGGTCCCATCCTGAGGACCTTAATAAATCAGTCACAGTCCAAAACAGACTTGCTGTTGGACAAGGAGGAGTCTCTCCTCATTGTGTCATGGCCAAAGGAGACTTCTTTCTTGTAGTCAACCAGCCTGGCACCTTTTATTCTTTGTGGTTGGGCCCTTTGCCCTGATGTCTAAGTTAACGAAACCTCCCCTCTTGGCATTAAAGAGAAACAGGGGTCCTTAACCTCGGAGCTCAAAATGCTGGCCACTGGATCAGGGTTTCTCAAGATGTTACCCACCTGTGTGTGCACCAAAACCCCAGAGAGCTTGTTAACATGCTGACCCTTGGCCCTGCCCCATACCTGTGGGCGAAAACCTGTGGAGGTATGGCCCCAGAATCTACATTACATTTTTAAACAGTCCCCAGAGGAGATTCTTAGGACCATCAAAATTAGAAAACAACTGCCCTAAATCCATATCATCTTAGCATCTATGTTTATTTCTTTCATTCTTTATTAAATGTATGTGCCGATGCGGCTTTCCTTTCCTGCATTCTGGCCTGTACTGTGCTTCTAGCCCCATGCACACCTCCACAGTTTACTGGAGGGAGCCTGGGGAGCAGGTCCACATCCAAGTCAGCTGGGGATTTTCCTCAGCGCTTTCCAAAAGTATGACTCGCACATCTGGATTACGGCCGCCGTGGAATAAGGGCTCCTTGGTGCAGTCAAACTCAGCACCGAGGGTGGAGTCCAGGGCTTTGAGCAGCTGCTGGGGAGAACCAGGAGACATATGCAGACAAAACGAGTGGGGCCTTCAAACGATTGTGGACTTCTCAACTTCCTAGAGAAGCAGGCAAGGAAATGGCTCATGAGACAGGATGTCCAGGCTTGGGGCCTGGGAGCTCGCCACCCTGGCCTGTCTGCAACTTGTGTTTCTCCTGCAGTTTATTCTCCTAGTCCGCTGTCATCCATGCCAGTGCCCACGGCTCCAGTCAGGCAGGTTCCTCCCTCTATCCCCTGCCCCCCTTGTACTGGGTGTCCAACTCCCGCTCATCTGAGATGGTTTTTTACCTGAACTGGCTGTCCTCTGGAGGCTGCTGGGACTTTGAGATGGATCTGGTAGCCCTCAGCTTTAGAGCCCTCTCCCTCTCCAAGCCCCCACTCTTCCTCCCCTATTCTTTCTCCTCCTCCTTGCTCTGCCTGCCTCTCTCTTTTGTCCTTCCTGCCTTAATAGACTGAAACCGACCTTGGGTTCCGGCTTCTTGTGGTCCTGGTAAATAGCTCTTAATGTGGCCACGGTGGATGAGGGGAAGGTGTGGGGGGCAGGGGACACCTACCTTCATCTCTGGTGGGAGGACCAGGGGTAGGTGCCCCCCAGGTCCTGCTGATGCACTGGAGTTACACAGCAGAGCCCTTGCAGGGACTGGACAGACCTGGGACTGGCCTGTCCTTAGTTTTTCCCCTTAATATGCAAAGAAAGACAACCAGTGAAAGCTACAGAACAACCTGGAGCATTTGGCCAGCACTGGGCAGTCAGGAGCAGCTGGACCCTTCTTTGAGGACAGAAATAGACCTTAAACCATTTGTATTAAACAAACAGGACTTAATTAGACAATTTACACTTCTTCGATTTTCTTACTAAGACTTTGTGGCACAGCGCTTTTATTGTTCCTGATGTTGTTGCTACAAATAGTAGCCCATCTAGGGGTAAATTACATGGCAGAATCAGTTTAATATTGACATTTTCAAAATCAATGAAGAGCAGGGCTTGGCCAGCAGGGCCAGGATGTATGTAAGGTAATGGGAATCAGTGTGAACTCTCCCTCCCGGCCTCCTGGATGCTTTCTTGATCCTCCTGCCAAAAGCTCTTCTTTTATGCACCAAAGCGAAGTGCTGGATTGGGTCTGCTTTCTCTCGGAAGGAGGTAGTGCTCTCAGATTTGCACCCAGGGCTTCTCAATTGCCTTCTGCCTAAGTGTAAATGGGGAGGCACGGAATACCCCATGCTTTGCTTTGTTGCTCTCCCCACTTCCCAGACCAGGGGAGCGTGGACTTTGGCGTTTAGGGGTGCAGGGCATGGAGGAGATCACTGGCCCGGGAGGAACACTCCGGCATCTCATGGTGTGGTTTGCCGAGCGGGGCCAGGGCCCAGGAATGTGCCTGCTTCTCCAGGGCCAGCAGCGCTCCAGGTACAGTGAGAAGGAGGGACAGCTCTTCAGATTTCCACTAACTGGTATTAGGGCCTATCCTCATGGGAGCCGCCCCCAGAAATCTGAGTGGGTGTGAGGCTCCTGTCTTTAGTGCTTTTCTCCTCTGGAAACAGCCAGCTGGTTTGTTTGTTTGTTTGTTTGTTTGTTTTTGGTTTTCTTTTTTTGGTCTCTTCCTTTTTGTGTAGCAAGGCACTCCGTTCTTTGGAGGGACATGCATGAAAGGCAGGCTCTCTCGTCTGACAGTATCGATCCCTTTAGGGATGCTGACAGATGAGTTGAGAGAGGCAGCCATGCCTGCAGCAGCCTCTTAGCGGCCTTCAGGGGTCCCAGCACAAGGTGCAGGTTGTTGGAAATTTAGACCTAATCTCAGACCAAACGATTCAGACCAGCCCCATCCCTGTGAGTCCTGGGCTGCGGCAATACTCTGCCCGGTGTCACTTGGTTTCTGCTGCTTGTTAAGGTCCCAAATCCCCAGGGAGAACTCTTCAGTGAGATGGTTCTGAAGAGTTAAGTGAATGGGCAGAGTATCCAGCCCTGGGGGGTTTGTGTGTGGACGATGTGCCCTGTTGGGCATCTCTGTGTCGCGCTCGCTCGGTGACATCACTTGGTTGGCCTGTGGTTTGTGTGTGTGTGTGCCAATCAGGATGTTCCTGTTTTGTGGTTGTCTGATCACTTGTTTTTGGCCGTGGGTTTCTGTACGAGTGTTTATTTTTAGAGGCTGCCACTTCTGGCCCGAGGGCTGATCCTTGGGCATGGTGGGAGCCTGTGTTTTCTGAAATGTTTGTGGCTTTAAATTTAAGTATTTATTTTGGGGTATTGCTGCCTTTTATGTGTTCCTTCTGTTGTGTGTGTATGTATATGGGAGATATGAGAGCCAGTGTGGAATAATGAAAATTATGTGCCCTTTGAAATTCTGATTTAGTCGTTCTGATTTTAAATTAGTTTTGATTTTAATTTAATGTTATTTCAATTATCTTAAATTAATTCTGATTTAAAACCTAAGCTTTACCAGGTATTATGTGTCTGTAAATAAATGGTTTCACCTCTCGGAACCTTTGTTTCTCCATCTTTAAAATAGGCATAACTCTCCTTGACACACAGTATTAGAAGCACTGCATGTGTAAAGTATATAGCAAAGTGTTTGGTACATAATAAGTATTGGCTGCATGTTAGCTGCTATTATTATTATTATTTTCATGTTTGTATGCACAGCATGCTTTCTGACTGGGGGTACCAGGATGTTTGCCATGGGTGAATTTTAGGTGTTTGATTTGGGTAATTAATGGTTGGCGCGCGAGTCTCTGGTTATCTCTGTGTCAGGTTGTCTGTGTGTGAGAGAGAGAGAGAGTGTGTGTGTGTGTGAGTGAGAGAGAGAGAGAGAGAGAGAGAGAGACTATTGGTGTCTGGCCTGGAGTTTGTGCAGTATTTGGGAGGGGCCTTTCTGGCCAACTGGGGGCCTGCCTTGGGGCAAGGGAAGGTGCTTGTGGGTGCTTGCCCATGTGTATGTGTGTGTGTCTTGGGCTGGGAGTTGGGCTGCTGATTGTACAGGGTGTGAAATCACTGAGTTCCTCTGGGCGGGGTGAGTTCTTGGGTCCTGAGTCAGCCCTTTGGCCTTGAGCCACCCGAAGCTCACTTTTTCCTTTCAGAGAAAGTATTGCTCACGGGCCCTCAGAGCTGCCTGGAGACAAAATGACAGAGGACACTACTCCTTGATGAAAACCTCTGCTTTTTATTCTTGATCCCTAAGATGCTTCCCCTGCCCTGCTCCTTTACAGAACTTTCTTGAGTCCCAGCATTCAGAGTGAAAGTGTGTCCCCTTTGACACAGGGCCTGTTGGCTTTGCCGAATATCACCTTGGCCAGAACTCCCAGGTCCTTGGGAAGTTAGCAGGATGCTAGACACAGGTTTTGGACTGGGTGTCTTGACCCCCCGGACCCTCTGCCCAATCCTAGGCTCTCCTGCCTGGGCCTGAAGCTGGGTGTTGGGATGGGTTCTGACCGAAAGCCTGGGATAGGGGTCTTTTGGTCCTTTCACCTTTCGGTCCCCTTAGCTCTATTTTGGGGAGCTGAGAGGCGTTTTTAGGATCCAGGGAACAGAAGCCTGTACTCCTTTCCTCAGGAGATAGATGTCCCGCCTCCCACTGACTTCTGCTGTCTGTTGCTCCTGCTCTTGCAGAGGTTGTGGGACATACTCAGGGGCCGCTGGATGGGAGCCTGTATGCCAAGGTGAAGAAGAAGGACTCCCTGCACGGCAGCACCGGGGCCGTCAATGCTACACGTCCTGCCCTGTCGGCCACCCCCAACCACGTGGAACACACCCTGTCTGTGAGCAGTGACTCGGGCAACTCCACAGCGTCCACCAAGACAGACAAGACCGATGAGCCTGCCCCCGGCCCCTCTAGTGCCCCTGCTGCCCTGAGTCCTGAGGAGAAGCGTGAGCTGGACCGCCTGCTCAGCGGCTTTGGTTTAGAGCGAGAGAAGCCAGGCACCATGTACCACACTCAGCATCTCCGGTCCCGCTTGGCAGGGGCCCCTGCTGCGCCCTCGTCCGTCCGCCACGTTGTCCCAGCCCAGGTTCACGTCAACGGTGGGGCCTTGGCCTCTGAGCGGGAGACAGACATTTTGGACGACGAGCTGCCCAACCAGGATGGGCACAGTGTGGGCAGCATGGGCACGCTGTCCTCCCTGGATGGGATCACCAACACCAGTGAGGGAGGCTACCCGGAGGCCCTGTCCCCACTGACCAATGGCCTGGACAAGCCCTACTCCATGGAACCTATGGTCAATGGCGGGGGCTACCCCTATGAGTCTGCCAGCCGCGCAGTGCCTGCCCATGCTGGCCACTCAGCCCCTATGCGGCCCTCCTACTCTGCACAGGAGGGTTTAGCTGGCTACCAGCGGGAGAGCCCCCACCCAACTTGGCCACAGCCAGTGACCACCTCCCACTACGGCCATGACCCCAGCAGTATGTTCCGCTCTCAGTCCTTTCCGGAAACTGAGCCCCAGCTGCCCCCAGCTCCAGCCCGGGGGGGAAGCAGTCGGGAGGCTGTGCAAAGGGGACTCAATTCCTGGCAGCAGCAACAGCAGCAGCAGCAGCCGCCGCTGCAGCAGCCTCGCCCGCCTCCTCGACAGCAGGAAAGAGCCCACTTGGAAAGTCTGGGGCCCAGCAGGCCCAGCCCCCAGCCGCTGGCAGAGACCCCCATGCCTGGCCTCCCTGAGTTCCCAAGGGCAGCCTCCCAGCAGGAGATCGAGCAGTCCATTGAAACCCTCAACATGCTGATGCTGGATCTGGAGCCGGCTGCGGCTGCCACCCCCCTGCACAAGTCCCAGAGTGTCCCTGGGGCCTGGCCAGGGGCCTCCCCTCTCTCCTCCCAGCCTCTTTCCTGCTCCTATCAGTCCCATCCACTGACCCAGTCCAGATCTGGCTACATCCCCAGTGGGCATTCCTTGGGAACCTCTGAGCTGGCCCCACGAGCCTCCCCGGAGTCCGCCCTTCCTGGCAGGTCTTACTCACCTTATGATTACCAGCCATGTCCAGCTGGGCCCAACCAGAGTTACCGTCCAAAGAGCCCAGCCTCCCCCTCCTCCTTGCCTGCCTTCCTTCCAACCACCCCCAACCCTCCAGGGCCTCAGCAGCCCCCGGCCTCTCTGCCTGGCCTCACCACCCAGCCTCAGCTCCCACCAAAGGAGGTGACTTCAGATCCATCCCGAACTCCGGAGGAGGAGCCCTTGAACCTGGAGGGGCTGGTCGCCCACCGGGTAGCAGGTAAGTGTCTAAGGGATCATCAGTGCTGGGTGTCCCCTCCTTACTTCCTCCATCTCTCTCCTCCTTGATCTTGGTTGGTCTTGCTGGGGGGCAGGTTTCAGGCAGAGCAGTCATACCTCAGCAGACCCTGCGTTGGCCTGGAAAAGAGGCTGGCAGGAGCCCACATACTAGTTATCCCTTCCTGCTTTTACTGTCTGTTAGGCTACAAGGCAGACATTGAGACAGAAAGATCAATGTCTTTCAGTTCCTGTCCTCAAGGAGCTCACAGTCTAGTGAGGAGACAGGTAATTCTAACAGAATGCAATGTGTGCTACAACAGATGTGGAGACCAAAGCTTCAGAGCCTGGGGAAAGCAAGGCTTACCACCTAGGACAATCAGGGAAAGCTTCTTGGAGGTGGTGACTTTGATGCTGGAGTACCTGTCTTCTAAGTAGAGAGGAGAGATGCTCTCTGTAGCTGCCTGCAGTGCTCGCTGTACTCAAACTTTAGTTTCTTGGGGAAGGCATGGAGAAGGCTGGAGGGAGGTCTCTATGGACTCAAATCCCTTCTTGGGCCCTCCCAGAGGCATACCAAAGCCTGGGAGAGCTCTGAGTGTTCAACCCCGATGGGCCCTTCCAAGGATATTTGTTTCGGGGGAGGCCAAGGTCCCCCTTCTCATCCATTTGTCCTGTTAGTCCTTGCTTTAGGACCAGCTTTGTGTGGGAAGCAGGCGCTGGGAAACAAAACTCCATTTCCTGTTAAGAATGAATGGACTTATCTTTATGCAGAGAGAAGAGTGGAGCAAATGGAGGACCTTATTGGGGAGATAAGAAATGACAGGCTGTCTAGGGCCATGTTGGGAAAGACAGGAAGAGTTTCCTTCCTTCGCATGGGCCTAAGCCTGCGACCATTCCATGGGAGCATCCAAATTGAGTGGGAAAGCGAATGGGTTGATGTTGTAGAGGTAAAGTCCAGGCAGGGGTTAACGAAGACTGGGGCCGGGTTTTGAGGCTTGTTCCCAGTTCCTCAGCTGATAGGGTGGTGGAAGCTCAGGGAGGAGAAGAGGAGTTTGGGCAGCTGACACTGCCCTGCACCCCTTTTACCTAAATTTAGAGGAAGCTGAGTCATGATGCCAACTGCAAGGAGGGAGGGAGGGAGACATCCTTGCTGGGGATGGCTGGTGGGTTTGGGGAAGTAGCTGGGGCAGGCCAGCTGGCTTTTGGGCTAGGCCCAGGACTGGGTGTAGAGGCATGGGTACCCTACTTCTGTACTTCAGAGCAGAGCACAGTTCTCAGCTCAACTATCCATCCTTGAAATTAGCCATCATGGAAGTATTTATACCACTGAAACTGGCAATCGGGGCTTCACCTCCCCTGGAGAGCTAGTCTAGCAGCGCATCATTGCTTTTACCCAAGAGTCAAAGCACAGGATGAGCAGCTCTGTAACCCTAGGAGCGAAAGAAAGGCTCCATGGAGGTGGTCCAGATGGAGCTAATGTCTCTGCTTTCTCCCATGTCTGGTTCCCTGAGATAAGGACTCCCCAGCTTCTTTGTCAGCAGAGATGCTTTTCCTCCTGATTTTGTTGAAGGAAGGGGAATGGTGTCCTCTCAGGATTTTGCAGCATTGGGGTAGTGGCTTGGAGAATAGTGACATTCTAGCCTAATGAAGGGCAGGATCCAGGGAGCTTTTCTCTGAGGGATCAAGGTGAATTTCCTCCCCCTACCAAACCCTTCCCTATGGCTCTTCTGGAGCTTGCTCAAGGGGAAGGCATACCTGAATGGATTGGGAAGGAGGCCCATCTTGTAGTGCATCTCCCCTCAGCCTTTTTGTTCCTACTTGCCTCTGAGGTCTTGACTATCAACCTCTATATCCCATTAAGCTGCCAAGAAGTCATAGGAAGGGGATGATATTGTTGGCACATCTCTGCTCCCTTCTCTTCTAGTCTGAGTGACTCACAGTTGGTAGATGAGATGTATAGAGGGGACAGTTATATTTGATTTCCAGGGCTGTAAAGGGCCTCTTTGGTCCATGCTCTGTCATGAACAGTATTATGTCAGCAGATCTTGCTTGCACAGCTTTTTTAGTAGCTCTTTACAGTGCCTGCAGTGCATGTGTAGATAAAGGCACATAGGCAGGATCAATGTACAGAATAGTCTAGGATCCAGGGACCATAAACTTCTAGCACCAGTCCTTTTTGTTCATTCTACTTCTGTAAGAAGCTGGAACATACGCTTTAACATGAGTAACCCAGGAAGCTCAGATCTGTGGGAGAACCTCTTCATGGCCATGAACTCAAGATTATGGGACATGATCTGGTTTCTCCTGGCTTCTCTCCCTCAGGTCTTCATTTTCCTACTTGGCCATTATCCATGCTCAGTATTATATCCCAGGTTCATTCCACTTTGATCCAACAACTCCTTACATTTTATTTCAGCTTAGATCTCAATGAATATAGAGGTAGTTTTCTTATCTTAATAAAGGGTAGGTACCGGAACCCTGTAGCACACACTATATTTTCTTGTGAAACATTAGAAACATTACTGTTACAGCCAGGGACAAAATAAGAACACCCATTATCATCCTTATCATTCAACATTGTATTGGATGTCCTAGCCAGTGCAATAAGGCAAGAAAAGGAAATAAGAGTCAGAGTTGGTGAGTCCAATCAAGTTATCTTATGATCCCGATTCTGTGACTGGACTGATCTCAAATGTCTGTAGAGGTAGAGATTTCAATGCATGTTGGAAATAAGATGTGGATCTTATCCTTAAGGAGTCTAGAATTTAGTAAGGGAAAAAAATAACTGGAACTTTAAAATGAAGTCATTTGTAATAAGGGAGGCATGGAGAAGGTTCTGTGGGAGTAAGAAAAAAGAAGATATCACTATCAGCTAGAGAGATTGGAAAGACCCGGTGTTGAGTGTGGGTTTTAAACAGAGCCTTGGACAATGGTAGGGTTTTGAAAGTGAATAGAGTCATGGAGAGAGAGGGTTTATAGTGAAGGCAGAAGAGCATAGGAAATATTTTAAGAATAGAGTAGATTGAGAGCATATAGGCCATGAGAGAGTCAAGAATGGTAGCTTAGGCCCTGCCCTGGTTGTTCTTAAATACCAGACTAAGGAGCTTGAATCTTACCTAGTGGCAATGTAGGAAGCTGTATTTTAGTCAGGAGAGTATGCCATGATCAGAGCTATAGTGTAGGAAGATGTACTTCATGGGTCTGGACAAGAACATGCAAAATGGGAGAGACTTAGGAGCTAATTAGATAGCTTAGGTATGGGGACTGGATTAGGGTGCCGACCATGGAAATGAAAAAGATGAGATAGAGGCTAAGGATGCTGTGCAACAAGTGGGAGTTCATAAAATTGTGTGGATGGAGTAGGTGAGGGAGAGGGAGACATCAAAGGTGACTCTGGGGCTCTGTGAACAGAAATAAAATGATGGTTCCATTAATAAGCTCGGAGTTCGGAGGAAGAGCAAGTTTGGTGTAAGAATTAGATTTGCTGAGTTTGAGGTGATGGTAGAGCCTCCAGATAGAGATGTAAGGAAGGTAGTTGAATATCCAGAATCTGAGTTTGAAAGAGTGGAAAAAGCTATCGGTTTTGAGAGATGAAGTTTAGAGCTTTGGGCATGGACATCTCCATGTCAGAAGGCACGGAAAGAAAAGAACATAGAGTAAAATGACCATGAGGGGAATGGAGGCCGTACAATGGACTGAGATTGAATGTTCAGGGCGGTGAGAGGAGACAGGGACTCTGGGCCATCGGAGAGGTCAGGATCGTGAAGGGTTTCCAGGAGGAGGAGTGAGGGTCCTCAGGGTCCCTGGGGAGAGGTCATGATGAGGAAGGTTGAGAACAGTGCATTGGGCTTGCCAATCAGGTGACCCCAGTGATTTTCACAGGCGTATTTTCAGTAGAGTGCCGGTGATAGAAGCCAGGCTGAGGGATGGAGGAGTGAGTGGAGAGGGAGTGCAGACAGCATGTCAGCTACTCTTTTGAGTAGTTTTGTGATAAAAGGAGAGAAGGCGATAGCTAAAGTGGTCAGCAAGATATTGAAAACTTTCTTTTTGTAAATATAGGAACCATAAGAATGTTCTTAGAGAAGAGAGGTTGATATAGAAGGGAGAGGGAGAAAAAAAAGATTAAAAAAAAAGAAACTACCCAGCTCAGGTGGATAATGTAGGTTCAGCCAGGAGGTGAGCTACCTCTTCCTGAAATAAGAGATAGATACAGATATAGGGAAATACTGGTGCAAAGCTTTGGGAGCTTGTCTTGAGAACCCTATTTTTACATTTCATCTTGGAAATAGGAGGTGAGATCAAGGCTCATTCAATCATTAATTCAACATGAACCCCTAAACTGTGCTATGTGCTAATCTAGGCTCTGGAAAAATGGTGGTAAACAAAGAAGTAAAAATCTTTGCCTTCATGGTGTAGTTGGACAATAAGCAAATAAGCAAATACATAAATAATAGGTCAGATGGGTGATAAGTGTCAGAGAGATAAAGCAGTGAAGTGCCAGTGAGGGATAGAAGGTGAGTGGGTGGTTGCACTTTACATAGGATGGCCAGGGACAGCTTCTATGAGCAGCAAGGGATGGTACCAGGTAGAACAACAAGTCCAAAGGCCCTGAGGCAAGAGTATGCCTGTATGGGGAGTGTAGCGGCACACAAAGTCAGAGAGGTGATGGGAATAGGGCCAGCTTACGTGGGCCTTGTGGGTGATCATAAAAACTTTGGCTTGACTCTGTGGTGTGAGAAGCCTTAGGAAGGATTTGGGCAGAAGAGTGACTTCATCCAGATTGTTCTAAAAGGATCAGTGTGGCCTAGATGGAAGGAGGAAGACCAGTTAGGAGACTGCTGATACTAATCAAGACGGTATCTATGGTGATGGGGAGAGTGCTCAGATTGTAGACGTATTTTGGAGGTGGAGCCATCAAGATTTATAGACAGACCAACAATGGACTATGAGAGAAATGAAAGTCAAGGTTTTTGACCTGAGTACCTAAAGGATGGAGTTGCCCTT